ATGATTCGGAGGGAGAGCTATTTTCCGGATTTCAAGTGATCGTTCTTGCGATGAAAGTGCTTTCGAGTACTCGCCCATGTCTCTATACACCAAACCGATGTTGTTGTAGGAAGTAGCCAAGTCGGGATGATTCGGAGGGACAGCTATTTTCCGGATTTCAAGTGATCGTTCTTGCGATGAAAGTGCTTTCGAGTACTCGCCCATGTCATAATACACCAAACCGATGTTGTTGTAGGAAGCAGCCAAGTCGGGATGATTCGGAGGGAGAGCTATTTTTGTGATTTCAAGTGATCGTTCATACGATGAAAGTGCTTTCGAGTACTCGCCCATGCTATTATACACCGAACCGATGTTGTTGTAGGAAGCAGCCAAGTCGGGATGATTCGGAGGGAGAGCTATTTTTTTGATTTCAAGTGATCGTTTGTACGATGAAAGTGCTTTGGAGTACTCGCCCATGTCATCATACACCAAACTGATGTTGTTGTAGCAAGAAGCCAAGTCGAGCTGATTCGAGGGGCTCATTTTCTTGTAGATATTGATTGCTCTTTCGTGAAATGTTATTGCCTTCGAGTATTCTCCGATGCTTTGATACACCGAGCCAAGTTGACCATTATACTGCACTTTGTATCCATCAGAAGATGCGTTCTCAAGGAGTAGCTGATAGAGATATTCTGCTTTCGCAGGCTCACCCAACTTGATAAGAATTTGACCCAGTCGCGACCACCCTGTTCCCACGATGTCAAGCTCTTTGCGTAAATGTGGTGTAAGTCTGTTAAAATCATCGTCTTGATTACCAGCAAGGGTGAGATTCACTTGCCAGAGGCGATCTGTATGCTTATCTTCAATATTTTCTATACGATCGATGCGAAAAATTGTATGTGTCGAAAAAAGAATTTCTTCTTCTTTATCGTCGAAGAAGCCAATATCTTTGACGTTGACGAAAGGTGTCGATGATGCTGTGCAAACGGCCGTATCGATGCTCATAACGAAGAGGATGCCAACTGAATTCGCATCGAATGCTGCCAGTCGTGCAAAGCTTTGTAAAGAAATCTCACGATTACGACTTGTCGACAAAAAATTATTAAACGACATAAGTCCACCTTTGGTTTTCTTGATTTTTTCAAAGGCTTCCATAGATAAGCCTTGACCACGAAAAACTTGAAATTTTGATGGCATGGCTGCTGTGCTGTTTTGCTGTTCACGATGTAAGTCTGTAATATGTTGATGTAGATGGCGAATAAAAAAGCCCATTTTTAGTATAACATCAACATCCATTTGTCGAAGACCATGGTTGAGCATTGAGTAGATAAAATATGGACCCGTGTACCACCAAATGGGTGTATGATCACGATATTCTCGCTCGATCTTTTCGAGTGTTACTTCGGAAGCATCACTGTGAAGACGACAGTATTCAACGAGTTCCTTAATCGATTTTGCATCATCATCTTCGATTTCCAAAAGTGCTTCTTTTAACAATTGTGTATACATAAATAATGGATCAATACGATTAAAACTGACCGAGATCATACCTCGATCACAATGTTCACAATCGATTTTTAATGCTTCACAAATTGGTTCAATTTGTGTGTATACACCTTTTATTTTAGGTATTGTTGTGGCCCATTGTTGATTAATCAATTGATTGTCACAGAATACATAAATTGAGTGTAATTGTGGCAAAGCTTGAATTTCTGGTACGATATGTTGTCCCAGTGCATCAGACACAATCATCAATACTTTTTCATCTTCAATGTCACTGAGAAAATCAACACATTGATCAACATCTGTAAATGTTGTGATTGTTGCTACAATATGTTGTAGATCTTGTATTGACTTGTTATAATGATCATTGGATTCATCGAAATTGGCATCAAGCCAGACCAGAAGAAAACTTTGAAGAACTCGACGAATAGGTTGGGATAGCACAGCAGCATGATTGGTAGTGATAGCCTTTGTTGATAGTCCACTAGCAGCAGTTGTTGTCAATTTTTGTTTGTCCATAATAGATGAATGAATGAATGCAATAACTGAGAGGTCGTCTCCCTATGTATAAAGAATTGTTTATTCTTTTTGTTCACATTTTCTTTTGGCTGGTTGCTATAGACTTTAAGAACTTCTTCTCTGTCGATCGTTGATTTATTTCAAGAGTGTTGCTGACGACATGACGATGATGGACGGGCAAAGTCTCTTTACATCAAGCAGGAAGCAAGGAAGAATACACAAGTAAGCAAAAAATAAGTGAAATGTCTGCAATACTCGTCATGATTAGTTATCCTGACAAGAAAAGTCTTGCAACTGCGTTTGGACTAGTCCAGAATATCCTTGAACCCCGGCATGTCTAGTATGTTTGTCTATCTATATCCAGATTAATCCGTAGGACAGAAAAAGAGTAAAAGCTGCAGACAAAAGACGGATTCGAACAACTGACCTATCTGTATTCAACACGTGACGCGTGTCCTAGCGCTACATCATGTCTTACCAAGAGACTGATGTCAGCTTTAATAGTTCAAATAGCAGACAGGTACTTATTCATTTGCTAGACAATCAAAATGGTCGGAAACAAGTGAGGGGTAAATGTGTGAGTGTTAATAAAGAAAAGATCCACATCAATCCTAAAATAATATGAATATTTTTTGTTGCATTACAATTTTATTTAACTTTAAATATGCACTCTGATCAGTTTAATTTAAGAATTAATTAAGATTGCACAAATCTATTCTAGTTCTGACGTTAAAATGGATTAACTTGATTTATAATAAAATAAAAGTATGATGCTTATATGCATTATCTTCTCTTCAATTAAAAAAAAATTATTAATTTATTTTGAACAGGGTATTTGTTCGCATTCACTAATTTTTACTAAAACTTGATGAAAATAATATTTTAATTAGAAAAAAACAGCCTTGTTTGAACTTATATATCCCCCTGAAAAAAATAGCTTAACTCGGTATCTTTAACATATCATTATTGTAAATCAACATTTTTAAAAAAATAATTATATATTCGGATAGCTCGTGAAATTCTCTACAAGTTTATATATGTACGTTTGGAATTGTATTTGTTCGCTAAAAATATGCCCAAGCACAGTGAAGACATCCTCATCGTCAGACTCCTCGGAAATGCTTTTTTTACTCCTTCTTCATTCATATTTTTAAGTTTATTTTGAATATGCGAACAAGTCACTACAAAAGTAAGTATATATTTTGAGAGCGCATGAAATGCTCTATCGCCCTGTACTTTTGCTGGTCTTGTCTTGTAATTATTTGATAATAAATACTTCGAGTATTGTTAATGTACACTCACTGTAACACTGCTGCTCTCGATAACTACACATGAACTCATACAGCAGCCCATGAATGGTTATCCGATAATCGAATAAGATGTATGAATAATTATCCACTTGTTAGTCCTTATCTTAATGCTACTAAGAGTGATTGGTCTATAATGAACCACTTTTCAGAAATATATGGCCTAAACCTTCGACAATACTTGAAGTATTTATCATCAAATAATTGCAAGACAAGACTGACAAAAGTACAGAGTGATAGAGCATTTCATGCGCTCTTAGAATATATACTTCTGTATTAACTTGTTCGCATATTCAAAATAAACTTAAAAATATGAATGAAGAAGGAGTACAAAAAGCATTTCCGAGGAATCTGACAATGAGGGTGCCTTCACTGTGCTTGAGTTTATTCTTAGCGAACAAATGCAATTCCAAACGTACATGTATAGACTTGTAGAGAATTCCACGAGCTATCCGAATATATAATTATTTTTCTAAAAATATTGATTTATAGCGATGATATGTTAAAGATACCGAGTTAAGCTATTTTATTTCAGGAGGATATATAAATTCGTATTAGAATACAAAGGTTTTTTTATCCATATAAAAATTTTAAAAAATATATGAATAGAATTCAATTAAATAATGTCTATAAATGTTCACCAAGATGCAGAAGTTGAATTTTCGATCATACGATCCTTCACCTCGAAACGGCTTCGTCCAGAACTAGTCTGCATTTTTGATAATAA